TGAGCTTTATGGAAGTGAAACTGGAAAAGTCCAAAAAAAAAAGGAAAAATGATGAAGAGTAAAGGAGAAATGGTCACAGAGAAGGATAAAGCAGGGGTGAAACAAAACAAGAATAAATGGAGAGCAGATACGAGTTGAACACCAAATGGTAAAAAAAATAAGAGGCACTCACCCTGCAAGAATCAGGAGGAGAAAGGCTTTCACTCATTACTCAGCACAGCTCACAGCAGGGGAGGGAAAGCAGTTTATTCTTTCAGTAATGCATCTGTGAGTGTGGATGTCTGTGTCTGAGTCTACTGAGCCAAAAACAGAGTGGTAATTGAGAAGTAACTAAGACATTACTGAGGCAATATTGACACAGAGATAAAAGTGGATGAAATCCATCACGATGTTTGTTCCTTTTCAGTCTGAAGCACTTGTTTGTTTTTCTCACTGTCGTTCTGTATGAAATATCTATAAAATGTTGCACAAAAAAGTGTGTTTGGGGGATTTTTGTGTCTGCGTGTGTGGGTACTTTAGATGTTGAACCTAATGTATGATTGTAGAGTCTTTACCTTACACTATAAAGCGCCTTGAGGCTGTTGTTGTGGTTTGGTGCTATATAAATAAAACCAATTGAATTGAAATTGAATTGAATTGAAAGTGTCTCTACTGTGTGTTTAATGGAGGACATCTAAAAGAATGTTTCTCATTTGCATATTTTGTGCGTACAGACAGTTACTTGAATTACCTCCCAGGTTGTATATAGCACTTAGTTACGGCCAAACACGGGTTTTGTGAGGTCACAGCAACCTTCGCCTTTGACTACTTAATTCCAATTAGGTCATCCTTGAGCCCAAATGGACCTTTGTGCCAGATCAAATCAAATTTCCTTTTGGTATTTCTGCTATTGCTTCCATGACAATGGGAAGGATGGATGGACAACCTGAAAACAAAATGCCTCTGGCCTTGGCTGTAGCCATGAAGACATAAAAAAGGAGTTAGAAATTAAGGTGTCAACATATTTGAGGGTTTGGTGAGAAGAGGAGTTAGAAAATAGATATAAGGAAAGCACAAGGCAGCACATGTCATATAATAATATAGGAAATTGCAGTTCAGTTGTGTTTGCTGTTCATTAAGAGGTGTAAACTGTTTCTCTTTCATTTAATTTATGGGCAACACAACAAATGAAACTGCACTATTTGGTTATTAAATGAGGGATGAAACTAAATGCTGGAAAGGTTTGTTGGTAAATTGCAAATCATTGGCAAACATAGGTGAAGGACTTTTATTTTAATGAAATGGTTTTTTTAGCTGGAGAATTAAGAATATTGAAAATAAAATGTAAAATTAAATAGATTTAAAACCATTAACCTTAGCTTCTAAGTTAAAGTTCCATTATCTTTTAAACCTGAGCAGCTGCACTAATCAAAAAGCTGAACAAAAACTGAAAGGAGAAAAAAAGACAGCTGAAGATTATTTTTGTGGTACTGATGATTTCCTAAATGACTTTTTGAAAAGCAGTCATTTAAGCAGGCCACTCACTTGTATTTCTGCTCAGACATCATGGCTAAACTTTGCCGATCACAGTCATAAAATATTCAAGATAATTCTCGAAAAGAGAAAACGGGATGTCTAGCTGTTGCTGACAGGCTTACACTGGGGGAGAATTGCAACAGCTTCAAGTGCATGGCTTTCAGATTAAAGAGAATAGAAGAGCTTTTTAATTGTTTCTTCTCATGCACAAACTTCAAAACTCACACAAGCTTTATGAAGATGCTTTGGTCAGGACTTTGCTAATATGAATGGTGCAAGATTCTCTGCATTCTCCCATGTTTCTGGGCTGCCTGACCTTTGGTTTGACCTTTTGAAGAAAATTTGCAGCACCAGCTGCCTAGTGTCTTGCCTCACATTAATTTTCCTTGTTGCTTTTTTTTCCTATGCTACCTTTGCAGTGTGGCAGAAAAAAGCTGAATTCAAGGGGTCAAGGGTCAGGAGTGGGAGGGTAAAGATGCAGGTCAGCTTGGCGCTGCAGTTGTGTTCAGCCAGTTTCCTCAGAGGCGTTACTGCCACAAAGCAGTTTGAACTCTTCCCCCTTTAGCTGCCTGTCAAAAACTGTCCCTCAAGAGCTCCTAAGCCAGTATTTTAATAATGTTATGTTAATGTTATGATTCAATGTACATTCATCGTTCTTTAATGACTTTAAAAAAACAAGAATCGGCTGTATATGTTTGAATTTATTTTGGATTTTTTGCAGACATCAGCAAGCTTCTAGCATAATTCTGGCTCGATATTCTTGGTAGAACTGAGAGTGTTTTGGCTCAAAGATATGCATATACTCACTTAAATCTTGGGAAGAATACTCAACACATCATCCTCAGATGGGAGGAAATGAGGTCCCGGCAGATAGCTGCCCCTCCCTGAGCCTGGTTCTGCAAGAGGTTTCTTCTTGTTAAAAGGGAGATTTTCCGTCCCACTGTCGCCAAAGTGCTTGCTCCTGGAAAAGAAGCCCCTGCGCCAAAACTGACACCTTCAAGCTTGATTGAAATCTGCAGCTGCCCACGTGGACAAGACAAATGCCTTCTGAAGAAAAGTGACCAGCTGAGACAAAGACTGAAGTATTAGGTCACAGTGACAACAGGTATGTTTGGAAGAGTAAAGTTGAGGCTTTCAAACAGAAAGAATACTGTCAAGCATGGTGGTGGCTCCATCATGCACTGGGGCTGCTGCCACTGGTACTGGTACATTGCATACAGTGGATGGAATAATGAAGAAGGAGGACTACCTTCGAATTCTACAAATTCACCCCAACTTAACAACTAAATGGCTGAAGCTTGGACACAGCTGGGTGTTCCAACAAGACAATGATCCCAAACACACATGAAAACTGGGTTTGGAATGTATAATGGATAAATCAGGCTAACATTACGTTTCTGGACTGGACTTCCCAAAGCCCTGACCTCAACTCTTTTGAAAACTTATGGACTATGCTTAAAATCCAGGTTCCCACCAAAAAAAAAAAAACACCTAGTTAAAATGATCTCTTGTCTTGATGCATGCTCAATCATCCAGGTAAGCAAATCCAGGAAAACTGATGACTGTTGTAGCATTTTCACTGGAAGAAATGTTTTTGTCACTCTTCCAAGTGAATTCTTCAGTCTCAGTTGACTGCAGCCTTCTCTAATATCATAAATGAACTCTTGTTCCAAGAAGAGCTGTCAAATATCCAGTCTGAATTATGCCTGAAGGTTGTTAATGGCTACAAAAGTCCATGGTGAAGGTGTAACCTGCTACAGGACCAACATATCTGTTATTTGGAATGTATACATGTAAGTATACATACTTTATCATCATCATCATCATCATTTATTTATTTATATAGCACTTTAAAAACACACCTGGTAGACCAAAGTGCTGTACAATACTAATATGCACATAGTAATAAAACCAGACATAGCAATAAAGTTAAAAAACAATAAAAAACAGTAAAAAATTAAAAATTAAATAAAAAATAAAAAAAATAAAAATGTATGCTTTTGACCCTGTATGGACTTAAAGATGTATGCTGTGCAACCATTCTACCCTGGAAAGTTAAAAGAAAACAAAAGCCCCAAATTACCATGACATTCATGTCCATGATGGGTATATGTAAACTGTATGTATGCTTAACATTTACATGAAAGCACAATTGTTACAACAAAGTCTTTTTTTAATTTAATGCATTTATTCCTCAAAAACACCAAAGTCGATGTAAAAATTATTAACATTTTTTTAAAAAAATTAAGAAATCTGTTAGATAAGTCTAAATGCCAATTTCCTTATATTTTAAGGTAGTGATTTTGCATCATTAATTCAAAAAATGTCTGTACACATTAGTGATACCATGAATAAGGCAGAAAGCGAGTTTTCTCTCCCCTGATGGAGTGATCACTATGGACCAAGTACGCCACTGGCTTCCATCTTGTCCCCCCTTTAAAACAGATTTTAGTAGAGACAGACCCTAAAAGACTGGCAGCTGTAATTGCAGCAAAAGGTGGTTCTACAAAGTATTGACTCAGGGGGCTGAATAATTATGCATACCCCACTTTTCAGTTATTTGTAAAAAATGTTTGGTATCATGTATCAATTTCGTTCCACTTCTCACGTGTACACCACTTTGTATTAGTCTTTCACGTGGAATTCCAATAAAATTGATTCATGTTTGCGGCTGTAATGTGACAAAATGTGGAAAAGTTCAAGGGGGCGGAATACTTTTGCAAGCCACTGTATCTATATCTATCTATATAGATATATATTTAGATTAAAAGCTGATATTGTGTTATACACTGTAACAAAAGCCCCAAGGTGAAAACTGGGGGATTCACGTGTGTGCAACACTACAGAGGATGGGTGAAGACTCCAACGAGGGCTTCCATTCAAATATGAAAGTGTCCTTGACATTTTCTGCACTGCACTGACTGCTCATCCTTGTCGCATTTCTCCAGGCTGCAGATGGAAAAGCACGACCTGTTGACATTTACAAACTTATCTGGCTGAGAGCGACAGCATTCTATAAGACACACCTCCAAATGTCCCACTGCCAACTTCCAGTTCATTCCACTTAATGTGTAACATGAACACACTACTGCTCTAAACCATCAAGTCCAGCTTTGAAAGGGGGGGGGAGAGAGAGAAACCCACACACCTTTTTGCCACCATGTCTTCTCGACTGAAGCAATTGCAACCAAAGGTGGTTCAAATACAGACAGGGTTTCCTTTTTATGTCAAAAGATTGGACAGCAACCAAAAGTAGTGTGGTACATAATTTACTGTTAATTGAGTTAAAGCAGGACAAAGCTAAAATTAGGTGAATGCAAAGCAGGTATAGTAGCAGCAGAACATGACAAATGTAAAGAAGTTGTGGACATTGGTCTGAGAAGTGATGTAATATGTATGCATATTAGACACTGGAAAGTGATGATGCAAATTAAGACAGGACAAGCATATAGCAGGCAACAGCACATGAAAAAAATAAAAACAAATTATTTTCTCAGTATAGAGGAGAAAAGACTCCTGTACTTTATTGACGGTGAATAAATCAATATCCAAAAGCCAAATGGATGCAATCAGGAAACTTATATATGTAACATCTGTGCGGGTTAAGCTTCTGCATCATTAAGCTTTCCAGAAGAACGTTCACAATGAGCCAGTTTGTGCAGATCTGCCAATCTTTGTGCTTGTGGTCCAGCTGTGGTTTAGAAATCAGGACGGTCCTTCTTCAGCTTGCTGTAGTCCATGTTGACTGTGAAAAACTGAAAAGACACACACACAAAAAAAAAAAAATTACCAAGATTGCACAGAAAAATCCATGCACCACCATAAATGGTTTGGGTCACTTGCCACAACAAACACGACTACATCAAGTTACACTCGTTAATGACTTAATAAGATTTGTTAACACAGGTCAGCGTTAACAAGATTATTGTTTGATTAGTCCAACTAAAGAGGAATTATCCCTGGATAAGAAACTCCACTGCTAAAGCTACGCAATAAAATCCAAGAGTAAAACCACCTCCACTGTTAAATACATCAGAGCAGAAAAATCAAGACTGCAAGACAATTAAACATAAGGGATGCACACCTTGTACTGATCATTTGGGCCAAGTTTGTTCCAGGGCTCTGGATTATTCTTGCGATCCCAGCTGCAGAAACAAGAGGTAAAGAGTAACTCCTAGGTACATGGCAACGAACTTGAAATTTCTCTTGTATGCAAATATGAAAAACAAACACATTTTTAATTAAGAAAACGACACATGACTTACCAGACATCAGGGTTTCTCAAGCCCAGACGGGCGAGGTACAACAGAGACATGGCTGCTCCTCCACCGATGAAGATGAAAAGGGGGATCAGCTGTAAGAGACAAAGGAAGATAAGGCATCTTATCAGCTGA